TTTTTTAATTTTTTTAAAAGATTTTTATTTATTTATTTGACAGACAGATGACAAGTAGACAGAGAGGCAGGCAGAGAGAGAGGAGGAAGCAGGCTCCCCGCTGAGCAGAGAGCCTGATGCGGGGCTCGATCCCAGGACACTGGGATCATGACCCAAGCCGAAGGCAGAGGCTTTAACCCACTGAGCCACCCAGGCACCCCGGTAAATGATTTTTTAAAATAAATTATTGGATTCAGTTTTTTAATATTTTGTTAAGGATTTTGCATCTATGTTCATGAGAGATATTGCCTGATGTTCTGTTGTTGCTGTTGCTGTTGTTGTTGCTGTCTTTATAAGATTTTGGTAACAGGTAAAACTGACCTCATAGCATTAATTTGATAACTTCCTTATTCTTGAATTTTTTTGGAATAGTTTAAGAAGAATAGGTATTAACTTTCCTTTAAATGTTCAGTAGAATTCATCTGCTATGCTTCTGGGTCATAGACATTTTTTGTTGGGAGTTTTTTCATTGAATTGCATTGCCAGTAATTGGTCCATTCAAATTTTGTATTTCTTCTTGCCTCAGTTTTGGTAGTTTTGGTAGTTTACATGTTTCAAAGAATTTGTCCATTTCTTCCTGGTTGCCACTTGTTTGGAGGGAAGGTGGATGGGGGGATGGTTTAAACAGGTGATTGGTGTTAAATATGGCACTTGTGATGAGTAGAGTGCTATGTATAAATGTATACATTTATGTATAAATGATGAATCACTTAATGCTATGCCTGAAACTAATGTGGGTATACATATTACGTATATATTGTACATACACACAAAATTGGCAAATCATTTTACCTAGGCTAAAAAAAAAATAACAATCTCAAATAAAATGAGACATAAAAGAGAAGACACAAAAATTCCGTGTAATGCCATGGGATTACAAAGGATCACCAAAGAATACTGTGAACAATTACATTCCAAAAAAAAAAAATGGATAACCTAGAAAAAATGATAAATTGCCAGATTGATACAACCTACCAAAGCTGAATGACAAACAAACTGAAGATATGAACAGACCAATGATGAGAAGGAGATCCAAATGGATATGGTAAATTTATCTTGAGGCATATTCCACATAATATGGCAAAACACATATAACATTGTTAAATTAATTTTTAAATACATATTGGCTGCTTAGTATTTAATCATCTTGTTAGTTTGCAATATATTTTGACCACTTAGAATTAGTTTACTTATTTATTTCCTGAATCAATTAAAGTGTATATACAACTAATAGTTCTCAGGAACTCTTATAGATATTGGAAATACAATGCAAAAAAATATAAAAATCCCTTTCCCATTGTGATTTGTCTCATATGGAACTCAGTAAAACATACTTAGCAATAGAGATACAAAAATAAACAGTAGAGTCATTATAAATATTCTTAAGAAACATCATGTCCTCCAGGAAAGATAATTCATCACTCAATTTCAATATTGTGATACATGTTAAAATGATAGCGGACACCAGTTGCTGAACTTGAATAATGTGAATTTCTTGTAGAAGATGAAGTGTACCTTATTTTAGGATAATTGAGGGTAATGGAGGAGACTGTTGCCAGAGAGCCTGTACCTTTTCTGGTCAACAAGATTGCACATTACTATAAAACTGTTTTTTCTTCAAAGTGCATGCTCAAACATATACAGATCTGAATTATATTTCCAGGTTATGTTCATGGTAATAAAATAATGATAATATCAATGGTTATGTTTGAAAGAGCCAACCAATATCTTCTTCCACTAGACAGTAGTCCCTCAAGCAATATGGATGGTTCCAGAAATGGCCTGGGTGTTGATACAAGAATGCTAGAGTGCTGAGAAAAGACAGACATGCTGAAAACTTATTACTAATATTGATTTATTTAGAGTCAGGATGTGTAGTCAAAGATATAGAGGTAAATTCAGTAATTGGAAAACAGATCTGGTAGATTAAAAACAAGCTGGAGTGCTGTGACGTGTGTAAACCTGGTGATTCATAGACCTGTACCCCTGGGGGAAAATATATGTTTATAAAAAATTAAAAATTAAAAATTTTAAAAAAAGAGTACAATTACCTTGATAAGCAGTGAGTAATACATGGAGCTGTTGAATCGCTATACTGTATACCCAAAACTAATAAAACACTGTATGCTAACTACAAAAAAAAAAAAACCAAGCTGGAAATGATTGGCAAATTAAGTGCAGATGACTCAAGAACATTATATCCTGGTTTCTATACCCACTGCTGAGACATGCAGAAAACATTGGAAGAGTCTTACAAGATCAGACAAAGATGGAATATCTTCATAATGTGTGTATTTTAATGAACTTATTCCATCCAACAGTATTCTTATGAAGTCATATGCTTCTTCCAAGAGATAATTTAGCTATCATGACATAAATAATTCAGGTAACAAGAATGGATCTTCATTCATGTTTAAATGAGTACTTCCTTAGAACTATTTCCTTACTACATTTAATTAAGATATTTTCACTATTCATTCAACTGTAATCTCTCTGTTACCATGAAAATTTCAGGACATTATTAGAATTTAAGAAAAATCCCATTTTGTTAAAAAATGAAACTGGACTTCTTTCTTATACCAGACACAAAACCAAACTCAAATGGATGAAAGACCTCAATGTGAGTCAGGAAACTATCAAAATCCTAGAGGAGAACATAGGCAGTGACTTCTGTGACCTTGGCCATAAGTACTTCTCACTGTACACATCTCCAAGGGCAAGGGAAACAAAAGCTTAAAAATGGACTATTAAAAATGGACCACTTCATCAAGATTAAAAACTTCTGCACAGTGAAGGAAACATTGAATAAAACTCAAAGGCAACCTGCAGAATGGAAGAAGATATCTTCAAATGGTATATTTGATAAAGGGTTATTACCCAAAATCTATAAAGCACTTATCAAACACAACACCACAAAACCACATAATCCAGTTAAGAAATAGGCAGAAGTCCTGAAGAGACATTTTCCCAAAGAAGACATACAGCTGGTTAACAGAAACATGAAAAGAAACTTAACATCACTTGGCATCAGGGAAATACAAATGAAAACCACAATGAGATATTACCTCATACCAGTCAGAATGGTTAAAACTAACAGGAATCAACAGATGTTGGCACAGATGTGGAGAAAGTGTAACCCTCCTACACTGTTGGTGGGAATGCAAGCTGGTGCAGCCACGCTGGGAAACAGCATGGAGGTTCCTCAAAAAGTTAAAAACAGAACTACCCTATGTTTGAGCAATTTTTCTTCTCCTAGGTATGTGCCCAAAGAATATAAAAATACTAACTCAAAGGAGTACATGCACCCTATGTTTACAACAGCATTATCTATACTAGGAAAACTATGGAAACAGCCCAAGTGTCCACTGACAGATGAATGAATAAAGATGTGATATATCTATATCTATATCTATCTATAGATAGATATATAGATAGATAGATACCAATATCTATCTAATCTAATACCAATAGATAGATAGATATCTACATATAGATAGATATAGATATATCACTATATAGAGAGGGGACATTATTTTTAAGCAATATATATTGTGATTTTTTGGTATTAGTTTTTATGTTATTTATTATTAAGTGAAATCTTACAACAATAGTATACTATATGTCATTACCTTAATTTTAGTCTCTACAGGACTAAACAGATTTTAAGTATTTGGACCAACTTCACACAGTAACAGTGTGACTGTGCTAGAACGCAACACAAACTTATGTCTCAAAATCAAATCCAATTAAACAAGAGGGGACAATGACTATCAAAATGTTGGTTGCTATTTCTTTACTCATCTTTGAATTAATGTTGGTTTATTTATTCATGACACTTGTTCAGATATCCTATGCATATATATTTCTTGTCTTCCAATCTCATATATAAATCCTCCTTCTAGATCATATGTTGGATGGTTAGTTGATATGAGTTTATATGAACAGCTTAGTGATCTGTAAGTCTAAGGGGCTTGGAGAAAAGTAAAGGGTCACAGGAAAAAAAATCATTGAAATAAAAAAGTGTAGTCTTGAGTTGAATAACTGAATTAATTTTAGTGGTTCTGAAAGGTAAAATAAATAAATCTCTCTGATAGTGCAGCAGGTGGTTTACATTTCTGATGAATTGTATTGCCACAGCACCAGTAGAATAAGAATAGGAAGACAACCACTGCAGATTTTAAATTCAGTGAAGGTTGGGAAGATCCATCTGTAACTTAAAACTTACATATCAAGTGGGATAAATCATTGGGAGTAATATTTCAAAAATCAAAGGAAATGAAATTTACCATTTTAATATGGGACTTTATTTGTATTAAATTCAACATACATTGATATTTACAGAGAAAAATATCAGAACATTGTGTAACAGAAAGTGAGACTCTATGTCAAGCAATTATCAGATTTAAGATCAAGGGGTCATACAGGAACTTGACTTTAGAATAATTAAATGAACAGGAAAAAGGGAAGAATAAGGACTGCTTTAGAGAGTACATATGTAGGACACCTGGGTGGTTCAGTCAAGTTGATTGTCTGGCTCCAGATTTTGGCTCAGGTCATATCTGAGAGTTGTGAGATGGACACTGTGTTGGGCTCAGTGCTCAGCATGAAATCTGTTTGAGGTTATTCTTCTCCTGCTGCTTCTCCTCCCGCTCTCTAGCTATATATATATTTTAAATATATAAAATATATTAAATGTTATTTAATATATATTTAAAAAAACAGTGCTTGTATGTAGAAATGTTTGCATGTACTTTGGTTCTATTAATTCTCTAAAAGATTTTAAGACCCTCCCTGAACACTGGATCTACATCAGGAAATACTGGTTTAGAATATATGTATGGATATTTTAGACCATATCTTCATGTATATTTCACCCTTATGTAAAATTAAGCATTTACATAATTAATCACAAAGAACGATTTCATTGTCAAGCATGCAAATCATCGAATTCTATAAAAATATCACTTTTGAGGTCTTACATTTATTAGCATACCTATGTATTTACTGATGGTTTCTCTCAGGGATTCTTTGACTTTCTCATTTCGAAGGCTGTAGATGAAAGGGTTCAGCATTGGTGTTACAACGGTGTTCAGCACTGTGGCAAATTTGTTAATGCTCATTGTGTTGCCTTTCTTTGGACGAACATAGAGGAAGATGGAACTTCCATAATAAATTGTCACCACTGTGATGTGTGAAACACAAGTAGAGAAGGCCTTCTGCCATCCCTGCACAGTAGGAATTCTAAGGATAGTAATAACAATGTAGGTGTAAGACACTCCTGTCAGGAGCAAGGAGCCCAGGAGCAACACAGCAGAGGAGATAAAGTCAGCCACCTCAGCCAGAGAGATGTCTACACAGGCCAGCTGTAGCATGGGGGCTCGGTCACAGAAGAAATGATGGATTTTATTTGGCCCAGAAAAGATTAACGGAGCAGTTAGGATGGAAGGAGACAACATTGACAAAAATGCACCTAGATAGGACCCTGCAAGAAACATTATGCATCTCTGTGTGTTCATGATGATGGTATACCTCAGTGGGTTGCAGATGGCAATATACTGACCAAATGACATGACGGCCAGGATGAAGAATTCTGTGGATCCCAGAAGGAAGTAGAAAATAGATTGTGTGAGACATCCCATGAAGGATATTGCCTTGGTGAGGGAGAATGTGTTTGCTAGCATCTTAGGTACCACAGTGGAGGTGATGTCAACTTCAAGGAAAGAAAGATTGGCTACAAAGAAATACCTGGGTGAATGCAGACGGTAGTCAACACACACCAAAAGGATGATCATGGAGTTGCCAATCAGAGATATCATGTACATGAGCAGGAATGCAGAAAAAATAAGTATTTCTACTTCTTTTTCAGTCTGAAACCCCAGAAGTATGAACTCAGTGACTCTGGTCTTATTTCTATAATCCATAATGTCCCCAATTTAACCTGGAATAACAGAAAGTCCTTTTATAATTAATTCTTGCATCTTAACCCTGGATATACCTTGTCAATATTCACTAATTATTTTTTTGTTGTTGTCAAGGCAGACAGATAATTTTATTTTCAGTTTCTAAGTATCTACTGAGATAAATTGTATAAGATTTAAGTCCTCAGCTGGGACACTCACTTATTACAGTTGGGAACCTAATAATGGATCAAGTAATATATAACCGACTCTTGTCAACTTTCCCTTTGAAATAAATTCCTTATTGTGTGTCATTAATCCATCAAGGATGTAATGACCTGATTTAAAGGCAGAGGTCTAACCACTGAGCAACACTGGTGCCCCAAGGATGACTTGGCACTTTTCGAGATGCTAACAGAGTTTTGGTAAAATTTAATTCTATATAAAATTTTATTTAAAAGAATGCCTTTTAAGCTAAGTGCATTATTTTACATGTGGCATGATGCTGTTCAAAACTAAGGGAATTCAATTACATAACAGAAATATTTTCTAAAAAGTTCATGACTTCTGATTCACTGGCTCCAACCTTCACATTATCCAATTGGTTTTGAACAATATGAAATCAGCTTTACATAGTCTTTGTAAGAAATCAGTCTCCAGAGTAAATGAGATTACCTCAGATATTAAAAGGGTTTGGGAAAGCATGAAATATAACTTAATTTATCACTATTTACTGTTTATGCCAGAATTCAGCCAGAGAGAATATATGCTTAACAAGCACTTTAAAAATATTGAACTTTTGAATTTTGACTGGCTGAAAAAAAGCAGCCCCTGCGAAAAATAGCTTATTTCATACTAGAATTTTTAACAGAAATACACAAACAATCAAGCAGCAACATGGTGCAGAGAAGGGACTTTCTTACTTACTCCCTGATCTGATCACTTGGGAGTTTCTATATTGCTCCATAAACCTAGGTGATTCAGGACAAAATACAGTCCATATCCCATATGACAAGATATAGAAAAGTTCAATATTAAGAGATGCTTGAGAGTTAATTTTAAATGAGTGTTTTATTCTTCTTCTTTCATAGATAGATGGGTGAGGCTTGGAGGGGTGAGATAAAATTTGTCAGGGTCCATAGAGTTTCAGTGGTAGAAGTGAGACAATATTCTGGGTTTTCTGACTTCAATTTGCTGTTCTTTCTTGAACAAGATATTAACTCCTTTCATTCATTTCATTATTATACATTTAAAGGACCAGGAACAGTAATGATTTCCTGACATATGCAATTAAAAATGAAAAGGTTAAATGCCATCATTTTGGATCCAAGTTAGTACTTTTATCTATGGCTCCGTAAAATAATCTTTTAGAATTATATTGCATGAATTAGTTATCAAGACAACAAACTTTTAATATGGTGACATTGTGTGAAGGGCCTTAATCACATTGTTTGCCTATTAGTGGGCCAGAGGAAAGACAATGGGATGCATTTGGAGAAGGGAAAGATTATTTTGGACTAAGGGGTATCACTGGGACATGTTCTTTCTGTAGTTAAATAAGGAGTGGTTTGAATTTGAGAAAAATAGCACTATTAGAACACTATGAGAAATGCTGGAAGCTGCAGGAATGGCAGAAACAACCATCTAGAGAAGACATGTAAAGACCCATTTGGTTAATGGCAAACTTTTGCATAATGCTTCAGTTAATTGAAAGGAAGAGTGGGGAAAGGAGGAAATCATAGTAATGGGGAACATGAGAAAAAAATAATAAATGAGTGCAAAAAAAATTTTAAGAACTAATAATAATACAGTTGACCATTGAGAAAAGCAGAAGTTAGAAGTGCTGACCCTTCGTGCAGTTGAAAATCCATGTATGATTTTTGACTACCCAAAAGAGAACTACTAGTAACCTACTATTGACAGGAAGCCTCACTGATAACACAAGCAGGTAATTAACACATATTCTGCATGTTGTATGCATTATACACTGGTCTCCCACAATAAAGTAAGCTGGAGGAGAGAACAACCTATTATTAAAGAATCATAAGACAGAATGCTCAAGGGTTAACTGTATGGTGAGATCGCTACTTAACTGCTGAAATATACCTCAAACTTTGTATTAACGTTTACATTAATCTTTTTAAATTTGAACAGTGTCTCCCTTGTTACAGCTACAAGGTTTGAATGAGATCCATAGTTGGAATCCCTTCTGTAAATTAGCTGCTGTTGTTGTTCTTGCTGTTGTTGCTTTTTCTGATGGTCCTAGAATTTTGGGAAACAAAGTGGGGAGAATACATTCATGGCTATAGAATAGCTCATAACAGCTTAATTTGGTGATGATGTGTCCTCTTCCCTTGCATTGTAGGTAAGATGATCAAGATTATGAAATTTGTAGGATCATCTCCCTAAGTCACTGCAATTTAGAAAGAGGATTAAAGCCTGAGCTCATCATTGCTTCTCCCCTGGAGGCAGGGCTTCTAGGATAAGTGGTCTGCAGGGAAAAAAAAAAAAACGTTTCCCAAGTTTAACAAAGTGGAAAAAAAAACTTCCATAAAATATGTACCCCCTCCCCCCAAAAAGAAATAACTACTTCTATAGATGCACTTTGGATCACAATGAATCATTAAAAGTATACAGTACAATTCATTATTATTGATTTAGGAGCCAAGTTGTCATTTTTAACATTATTGTCGTAATTAGCATAAGTTCTGTGTTTTATGAATACTTATCTATTAGGCACTCCTTTAACATTTTTCCACATATTATCTCTCTTATCCTTATAATAATAATGTGAGAAATGTGATATTATTGCTCATTTGTAGTATTTAGTTTATACAATTAATATAAGACAAACCATATAAAGTGTTAAAATGTCTTAAAATTTAAATCTAATTTATATTAAATCACATTATATTATAAATATAAATTTAATTCATTAAATATTAATATTCATATTATTAAAATTAAATATTAAATAATATATAATAAATATAAATTTAATTTATATTATAGTATATTAAATAATTAGATTAAATTAAATAATTAAATTAAAATAATTATAATATAAATTACTAAAATTTATTGAGTGCTTACATATATTCTGAGTCACTGAGACATGATGCCTGAATCAGAGGCTATAATTTAGTCAGAGTGAAAAGACATAAATATGTTTAAAAAAATTTGTTTACACATATGTTAATTTGTGGTTTTGTATATAGAGTAAGGAAACTGCATTTTTGTACTTAAAAAATCTTTCAATATGCAACTAATAAATCACTAAGCTCTAACTCTGAAAATAATAACACACTATATATTAATTAATTAATTATTTTATTTTATTTGTTTTTTAAAGATTTTGTTTATTTGCCAGTGAGAGAGAGAGAGAACAGGAGTAGGGAGAGGGAGGAAGAGGAAGAAGCTTAATTCCTGCTGAGCAAGGAGTTCATGACACACAGGATTGATCCCAGGATCATGATCTGAGTCAAAGACAGATGCTTGCTTAACCAACTAAGCCACCAGGCACCCCAAATTGAATTTAAATTAAAAAAAAAACTTTAAAAAATGATAGAAAACAAAAAGAAGGAGAATTTTGTTTTGTTTTGTTTATTTAAATTCAATTAGCCAAAATAAGGAATAGTGCAGAGGATCATAGGTGAAGGGAGTGAAAACTGAAATGTTTGAATAGTGTTCTCCCAAAATATTCCACTATGATAAATTACCTTTTTTACAAGTAAAAGAACTGGTTATACATAGAAACAGAAACTATAGTTAGGTTACCTAATCAATAGACTGATGGTTTCTCATCATGCAGCTATATGATAATTCAGATAAAAAACCCATGATAATCTTTTCTTGCTTTGAGTGTTTAATAAACTATCCTTATCAAATAATGGGTTGTATTTTAGCCTCTAGGATGAATTACAGAATTTTGGTAGCCCTTTGTTTTTGTTTTTGTTTTTCTCTATTTTTTTAAATTTTATTTCATTTTTCAGTGTTCAAGATTCATTGTTTATACACCACACCCAGTGCTCCATGCAATTCATGCCCTCCTTATTACTTACCACCAGGCTCACGCAATCCCTCATCCTTTCCCTTCTAAAACCCTCAGTTTATTTCTCAGAGTCCGCAGTCTCTCATGTTTCATCTCCCCCTCCAATTTTCCCCAATTCACTTTCCTTTCCTTCTCCTAATGGTAGTCCTTTGTAATAATTTTCTCTTTCTTCTAGGTCCTTGTTTTCTGTCTCATTTCCCTCACCATCTGTATTGGAATTTATTTAGTTCTTTACATATCTTTAAATTTTTTCAACTTATACTTAGTGCACCTAATTTCTCTTTGCCTGGAATTTTCTCACTGCATTCTACCACGTTTACCAGTTTAAAGCCTCACATGACCTGAATAAAACCTTTCTTCTATAAACATAACCAGATTCTTACTACAAGAGTCTCTAAGCAAATCCGTGATAATGTTATTGCATTTATAAAGTCATAATATTTACATTAATTTGTAATATGAGTTTTCCCAAATAAGCTAAACTTTAAATGAGACCTGGAACTATGCTTGTTCTATTAATATTGTATCTAAAATATTGAGCCCATTTCTTGTAAGACGACCTCAATAAGGACAGTATGAATGGATTAATGAATGGATTAGTGAATGATGTGAGAAAAATTCT